TTCAAGTTCTTGAAATCTATGCATGCCGAACCTCTTGCTGCTATAATAGATCAAGAGTCTCTTTAGATAGATGTCAACTCTTGCTCATATGAGCAAATCTGGTGGAGAATTACCATGACTGTATTGGTATTAAACACATACGGCAGTCAGCTTATTCTGCAAGTCTAAATATAGAATCCTAAGAGTTTCCCTCCCTCTACCAGGCATGTACTGCAAACTGATTTTATAAAAGAATAGTAATCATTGGACTATGTTTCCCTAGTTCGTAGTAATGCGATAGTAATGATTGAAGGATTGAATGAATTTTACGAAGCACTTGTCAGAGGTAACAATGATGGCGTCCCATATTAATTTTGAATTCAGTAGCCTTAAATGATAAACATAATTAACATGCTTGTGAATTCAGTCAAAGCAAGTTTGTTTTGGCTTATGCCAGAAAAATTGTTCAGTCTAGGAAGACATTCAATTATCTTGATTTAATAGTTTGCCTATTAATTATTGCCACTTTTTATTAATCCAATGGCTGAAAACTTACTTGTTAAGAATTTATTGGTAACAACTAAATCCATTATATATTTAGACAAGGTCCCACCAAGAAATTTGCTTTGGGTGCAACACAAGAAAAATCGATCTGCAGGAAAAGGTGAGAATAATTACAGACACCCATTCTTCCTGCAAAATTTGAACTCGTACTGGGACTCGTCGATATGACAACAGACTTTATTGATCATCATACCGAACAGGAAGGCATAAATTCTATACTAATACATTTTTAAAAGTTAATTTTCTGCACAGAAAACTAACTAAGTTAATATAAAATTAACAACTAGGTATAAGTAGTTTTTGCGCAGAAAACTAACTAAATGTAACTAACCTAGGTCACACAGAGACAGGGAAAAGTGGAGAGCACCAGAACTTTGCATATGCTCACATACATATTGCTCGGTCGCACTACTATACATCTTAGAACACACAAAAAGTAATGTCGCTTAGTTATTTAGTTTAATGATGATTAGATTAGGTCAGTGGATATTTATGGCACATAATCTTAAAGGTTATAAAGCGCTAAAATAATGAGTAGGTTGTAGTTTGTTGAACTTGGGTAAATGATAATTATTAAATGAATAATATAAATATTACTGTAACTGAAGAACAAATAAAACTACGAATATATACTAATATACTTGAATTCTTATACATGATCGAAGCTCCATATTGGATTATATCAAATAGTTTTGATTTGTGATATCATTTTTAAAAGGTAACCTCAGTTACGTTACTGCCTCTTTCATTTACTGACTATATTCAGAGGCAGAAATTCAGCTGGCATTTTATGCCCCTGTCTAATTTTTTTAGAAAGTCCCTCTGCGAAATCCTTTTATTCTTGAAGAGCAGGAACTTTGTCAGCTCGTGTTAGGAATAGCTGAATTTTTTTTTTTCAATCTGAGTTGTGTAAGTTAGTTTATTTGCGTAATACTGTATTCTTCATTGGTGCGTTTATCTCGCGTATAGATTTTTCGCAGTTAGTTTCAAAAACGTACATTTCAATAATGCCAAAACGCTGAATTATATTTATGAATCTTCACTGTAACCACAGAAAAGAAGATCATATTAATACTTTTCCATTAAGGTCTGATTATATTTAAATATCTGAATATACAATTAATATTTTAAGACATGTATTCATTACATGCATTAAGAAAGCAAAGTAATGATTTTAAAATGTTGCCTAAAATTTCTCGATATCACTTGCTGAAAATTCAGTTTCTTCGATATTTGAAACCAATAGTACTCAGTGCCCCTAAAATTATATTACTTTCATTTCAGATTTAATTATTCTTCAATGTAGAAATCTCCTTGAAAGTATGCCAGTGTATAGGAAAATCCTACTGATGAACCCTTCAGTTTTAGATATTGAATCATATGCATGGTTAGAGCAGAATAAATTTAATTTTGATTTCCACTAAACCCGAAGAGGAAATCTGTGGATTATTCTAGAAATGTGGATATATTTTAGATGTCTAGTTACACTTAAACATCAAAAGGATTGCTTCAAATGTATAGTATTACTGATGTTTTCTTAAATCGCCTTTAAGTTGCGCTCGTAGCTTAAGACGTTTACCTAGAATCGATATGCATCTTTTAATGAAATCTTGTGATTTTATTCTAGCATCAAAATAACACTTGTGTAGATATTCGCAGCAAGTTTGTACATCAAAAATTCAATTTTGAAGACTGTTTAAACATATTTTCGCTTCTTAGATTATCTTAAAATTCGTATTTCCTTTTTAATAGCATCTTATAAAACGCGTACCTTTATTAGGCATACATACTAACACTCATCTAATCATTACGTGACTAATTTATATTCCAAAAGCATAACTATTAAATTTATTATTCAATATTAAGCACTACTGCACAAAAAATTAAGCACTACTGCACAAAAGTGCATCAATACCGAAGTTGAAGAACCCTTTATTACCCTTTTTGATGAAAATCCTATAAACAATGTCATTTATCATAATATTTCAGGTTATGTTTTTATTAATTTCATGATATTTATTTTTGTCCAAATTAAATTTTGATGTTTATTAGATTATGTAATAAAATTGTATTTATTCAATATTTATTCAATTTCATCTCTTATCTCCATAATTTTCCTTTTTTCACAACTTCCTGTTTCTATCTTCTTCCTCTTTGTAATTATTCCTCTTTGTTATTATCCATTAAAGAAAAATTATGTAGTATGAAATCTGAGAGATTCAAAGGCATACCATGGCCCCATGGCAAATGAATTTGCTGTAAAGTGCTTATTCCCTTCTGTGGGAGACTTTTGACACATCATTTACCTCATCAATAAACGCTGCAGCTTATACGTAACTGAATGTATTTAATTTTCCAAGTAATAAATAATAAATTTAGAAAAATAGACTGAAACATTATCATTTTCTGTATTTTTTACGGCCTATTTTCCTCCCTCAAATTATTTCTTTATATAAGTTCATTACTTTTCAGCAAAACGTAGCAAGGTAAAAAGGAAACGAAAACAGCTGTGCCTTTTACAGTTTGAAAATTGTGTTATATCTTCTCGAAATAAAAAAAAATTGAAAGAAAATTTATTTTTAGAAAAAAAGTTTCACTTCAAATTTTCAAAGCACCGTTTTTTTTATTACGTATACACCGAAAGCGTATCGAAATTTTTGAACTATTATCAAAAAACAACATCAGTACTGATAGATGTGGAATACAAATATGAATGAGAAACGCAACCAATTCTACATTTACTAACTATGTCGAAAAAGAGATTACGCCCTAAATTCTTCAATGGAAAAGACAGATGGCATCCCAGAAAAACGAAAGATCAAAATATGAGGCAAGTGTGTATAAACTTCCAACTAATATAATAATTTTGAAATTATTCTAATGCTAATACTTTTCGTTAAACGTACACTGCTAAAAAGAAAATTCTGAAATAACATACCAATGTTTTTCCACATGTCGATTCTACGACTCGAATTATGCCTAAATATTAAATTTTGTAAAATTTGGTGCGAAATTTACAGAGAAATTTTAAAATTTATCTTGGCGCAATCTTTTCAGCTTGCGCCCACTTGGCGAATTTCTTAATATATTTTATATTAAGAAATTTCCTTTCAATTTTCCTTCCAATTTTCCTTTCCCTTCCATTATGCCTGAACGAAAAAAAGGCACCTCGTTCCTAGATTTTTACATTGTGCATCACGGGGAAAAAGTCACATCGTTCCTACTTTCAAATAATTTTAGCAAACTGTCTAAACCACATTTGATGGTTTATCGCTTTCAACAAATACGCCAAATTTCAAAACGCTTCAATTTATAAATTCACGTATATCTTCGGAAATTTTGAATAAAAAACTGTAATTTTAGACTTAACTGCTTAGAAATACGTCTACTTTAAGATGATGGTAAAAATTTTTATACATTATAATTCAAAATGTTTTTTGAAAAATTTATAAAAATTATTTAAAAATATAAATTTTTAAAAAATAAATCATAAAAAACGGGTGAATTTTATTTGGAATGAACCTGAATTTCGAAATGTGAAAGGAAGAATCAAATAAGTTGAATAAAGAAAGAGAGATTAATAAATGTTTACCAAACTGAATTAATATTGTGCAGCTAAAATTTTGAGAGCTAATTTTTTAAAAACTATTCGTGCGATCTTTTACGAAACTTGGTAGTATGGCGCAATTTGAGTCGTAGAATTGAAATATGAAAAGAAACTGGTATGGTATTTAAGAAAAAGGTTCGATTTGATGTCAAAATACCTATATTAGAACAATGCTGTATATAAATCTAATACATATCCTTAGTCGTGCTTTCGAGATATGAAAAACGCATGTTGAATTTCGTCAATCGGCCCAGTGGAACGGGAGATATAGAACTGTCCTTCCCTTTTTCTTCTTTTTTCTTTCTTTTTTTTCTTTTTTCCCCCTGTGTACATCTAGAGCACTTTCAGGCAGAGAGGGATAAAGGATCGACAGTCAGTTGGGAAATCAAAGTTACATTCCTATAATTGCAATAACTTGAAAAATCCAGATTCCTTACTGTTAAACATAGCATGCTATAAATAAATGTTAAGATGAAACTTATACAATGTTTTCCATTTACGTGACTTAAAATATTATGAATATTTTTGCTAAAATTGTCAAACATTTATAAAACAATTGCATGAGCGGAGGCATTATTATGAGCTATGTGGCAGATTCCTCAAATATCACTCTCCTCACTCTTTGACATAATGTTACAGTTTTATTTATTCTTTATCGCAAAGGCAGAAAACAGGTCCCTAGATATCAACCTAAAGTCACTGCACTAATGTTTCTAAAATTTCATTTACAGTTCCAAGCATTTGAAAATAAAATATGTAGAACAGGCCATTCACGATACTTCTGCAAAATTTATATCTATAAAAATAATTTTTGTTTCAAAGAAAAAAAGAAATATGAGAGATTTCTTACCGCCTTGGGGAAAGTAGGAATTGAAAATGTCCTTGAAGGTGTTTTCGTTGACTACTCCCGTGGGACATACCTGGAAATAAAGAATAGTTTCTCATTCCACATCGTTAATACTTGACATTAACAGTAGACATAAAAATGATTAACCGTTATCCCGCATTATAACGAACACGGAGATTAAATGACGTAATGGAGACGTAGGAGGTGGTCTGGATTTAAGCCAGTCACTGCTTTATGAGCAGCTGTAAATTCTTGTTTAGAACTATGATTTTTAAGGTACCTTTGGGAACAGTGTGACAGAGTCTCATTTAATATTGCTGACATACAGATCCTATAAACTGAGTAAAGCAGCATTCCGTCAAAGAAGTTTAAATGCAATCTTCAGCGTAAAACTTCTACGCTACTGTGTCAAACGTAGTTTTATGAAATATACAAAGAAACAATGCAGCAAAATACCTCGTAACTTTCTATTCTTAATTGTGCTGAGAGGTAAGGGTTTTTTGTGTTTTTAAGTTTTAGGACTACGATGCTCTTTCTTAAGGGAAAGATGAGATTTCCACATTATTTATGAAAGGGGAAGCCACTTCCATGAATTATTATTTATGAAAGGGGAAGCAGTTTCCATGGATAACTTTAAAAGGAAAATAGACTTTTTGCAATGTGAGTTAGAAATAAGATTACACGTTTGAAAACATCGTGCGACAACAGCATATTGTAGCTACGAGAAGTGAGGTAGTTCCATTACAAAGACCGCAATTTGAAGAATAATACGCATTAATTCCGAACAGATTCACTTCATTGTCTTAAATTTCTTGCTGTTGTTTTCTTGCTTATAATTCTTGCTTGATAAAGTCATATTTTTACCTCTGGTGCCAAACGTTTAGGACTAACGATAGAACTCAGCTCTTTACCATCTTAATACTATCTAAATATATTTTAAATATAATGAATTCAAGATAAGAAAAGAAGCAATGGCACAGTTAACTCTGGATGTGTCTTTCTTCTCATTTAATCTTTTCTTCTAAGTGTTAAGCACTTATATTATTGTTAATAATTTTACAGTCTCTCTCTGGTGTTATAGTCTCCTCTGGTGGTTTATTTTTAGAGCTATACATTTGTTTTCTCTCAGTATACATTTAAAAATACTTTGTGCCTAAAATTTTCTCGTTTTTAGTCAGGAACTTTCTTTGCCTGTTTGTTTAAAAAGTCCGAAGGAAATTAAAGTAAACAAAATATGGAGCTCACTATCGACATTGTTTATTTAAGCAAAAATTTATAGAAAACAATCTTGTGAAATAAGTGAAATTATTATTATTGTCCACTTAATACTAATATATATATTAGTGAGACTTGTTGCAGAATTGTTTTGTTTATTGCCACTATCTCATACAAAAATTAATTTAAAGACCACTACTTGTAGGCAGGCATTCGCTGGGATTTAAACTTAGACCATAAAGTCTTCAAAATTCAGCTTTACTCTTGAGGGAAATCTCAAACTGTTCAAGACAAACCATTGAAATATTTATTTTAAACATTTATATGTGAGATAGAGAATCAGCTCGCAGACATTCTGCATTTATCCTGGTTACTTGAGGGAAAATATGAAAACTGTTCAAACTCATTACGAAGGTTGCTTTTCTTCATATTAAAAGTTGATCTTCATGCAAGTGCAAGTATTTTATGCCTGGGTATCTCCATGCATATTTTATCTTGGCAAATAGGGTTTTATTTTGTTTTGTTTTAACATCTTGAATGATCATAATAATTAAAAAGGAAAGTTTAAGTTTGGTTCAAGCCCTAAAGTTTACTTGTATCGAATTTAGTTTAACTACATAGTATAATTTATTAAATACATTTAGACACTCGTTTAAAGGCTTTTTTATGCTGCTTTGTTGAAGCAACGCTTTGGCAAATTTTAATTAAAAATTTGCAAAAGCCGTAGATTAAACTTTTCGGAATTTACTATTTGACAATAGAAATGTCTTGACCAAAGACGTTCTAAAGTTGTTTAATTCTTATGTTACATGTTGCATTATTTTATGTTACCATGCATTTATCAATCACGTTCTTTGGAAAATGTCATTGCTCGAAATACACCGTCTTTTTTATTTCTTTCCACGTGGCGTAGCACCAGTTCTCAAACCGTTATATTTTATAAAATTATAAAAAATTAATTATCTTTTAACCAACATTTAATTTGTTAAAAATGCAGTGTCTTGAACTTAATTAATGACATATTAATAATGGAGGTTTTTGTTTAATTTTTAATAATCTAGTAACTAATACAATATAAATTATTTTATTGTATAAATATTTACTTCATAATTTTTAAAAGCATTTATAGCAGTATCGTAATTAGTAAAAGATTTTCTAGAGTCCCATATTACGTCCTTCGGGGCGAAAGTATTTGTTTCTATAGTTTTCCGCAAAATTACACATCATGGAAATGTGTTAAAATAATTAATTTAAAGTAAGATTTTGAAAATAGTAGGTTAGTTAGTTAATTGATTAGAAACAACCCATACTAGGGCTAATAGTCTTATAGGAAAAGGTTTTCTGTGAAATAATGGTTTTCTTACACATAGGAAAAACTACGAAATACCCATGCAATTTGCCGTTTCTAAAAACAAAGGTGCAAGACAAACGCTAAAGATAGTACAATCATTGTATTTCCAATAATGTTATAAAATGCTAGAACGAAAAGTAATAAAAGTAAATAGTTTTAAATAAAATCTAAATTCGCTTATTGAAACTGAAAAAAAAAACTATACTAATACCTATTCATTTGTTAATTAAAAATAAACAGAAATGTTGTTGACAATATTAGCTTTTTTCGAACATCACAAAACCTTATTATGAGCAGGCAACTATTTGAATAATAATAACAACTATTTGAATAATGTAATTCGGATACAGTATAATTCATTTACTTTTCCGTAAAATAACACAGCAGTAAAAATATTCCGATAATGACTTCATTAGGTTTTGGAGCACGATTCATTAAGTATTCGATGTAGAATAATAAACATGTTTATTTGAAAGACTCATTACATATATTTATTTTTTTACTTTCTATCTATTTATATTTAATAATATTTTATATACACTCATGTCCATAAATTAAGGATAATGCGGAGTCACACAGAAATCGAACTCTAAAATAAATTTATCACCTGTAAAATCACTACACACATCTTCAAGAATCATATGCAAATTTCAGGAAGTAACCAGATGACACCGATGGTACGTCACAATGACGAGAGTGTAAGAGAGTGATATATAAGGAATACAGTCAAAGAAGTAAAATTGTTCGTAGGCGTTTTATAAGCATTTCAGGGCAATAACCGAATAGTTATGACACAAAGAACGCATTTGGATGATTTTTTACGTGGTAGAAGTATCGTCCGTCTGGAATGTGGGCGTACCCAACTGAAAGTATCAGACGAACTTGGAATTGCTCAGAGTGTCATCTACAGGCTTTGGCAACGATTCCAAGATGATGGTAATATGAGTAGACGTTACAGCACAGGTCGCCCCAGAGTTACAACGCCGAATGAGGACCGGTATTGGCAGTTACTGCCAAAAGAAAAGGCGGAGCACAGCCTCAGACCTCTCTCGTCAGCTCTCTTCAGCCACTGGTACGACAATTTCAAGGCAGACCGTGTACAGACACTTAGGGCAGATTGGTCTATATGCTCGTAGACCTGTCAGATACGTTCCACTTACTGCAACTCACTGTCGCCTGCGGTTAGCCTGGAGTAGAGAGCATGCATTGTGGACACCGCAACAGTGGACTTGTGTGATGTTTTCCGACGAGTCCAGGTTTAGCTTGCGGTCTGAGTCTCGTCGGACTTTCATATGGATAGCTCCAGGTACCCGTTATCACCATTAAAAAACATCATTGAACGACACCGTTACGGTGGTGCAGGAGTGCTCGTTTAGGGTGGGAATTATCGGGTTTCAGAACTGACCTGCATGTTCAGATTGGAACCATGACAAGCCAAATATATCGGGACGTCATTCTGGAACAATTTGTACGTTTGTTTTGGGGCGGCATGGGTGCACAATTTGTGTTTATGGATGACAATGCCCGTCCTCACCGTGCAAACATCGTAAGCGAATGCCTTCAATCGGAGGATATCACCCGTATGGACTGGCCAGCATTCTCACCGGACTTGAATCCAGTGGGACATGCTTGGCCGACGAGCTGCAATCCGTCAACCTCCTCCTACATGTCTACCGAAACTTCGGAGAGCATTGCTTTTTGAGTGGTGTAATATCCCCCAAGATCAGATCGATAATTTGATACTCAGCATGCCTAGGCGTTGTACGGACTGTATTGCATCGTCTGGGAGACATACAATGTTTTAACAATAATACCAATCATGTAATATTGGTTTTTTGTAAATATTTTTTTTTTAATTTGCTTCAAGGTGAAAAAATCGCTATTTTTAATAATATCAAACATATAGCATCTTTTTTGCTCTTTACCTTTTGTTTAATAAATAAGCTTTACAAATAAGTCAAATTTGTTTTGCTTCTAACTCTTCCTCTGCTTGATTTTCCATTATCTTTAATTTACGGATATGAGTGTATATTTCTATACATTTTTACTTTCCGTTTATTGTTACTTTTTTTTTCTCTTCATGCTCGCACGGGGTTTGTGGATTTGGAGGGAATAATGACAACAGCACTTGATAAAGTGACGAAACACGCTTTATTAGAAAGTATTATTCAAGATAGCTCCAATAACACGTTTACAGTCGTCGAAGAACTACTATAATCACGCTGAAACAATCAGCGACACAGCTTTCAGGCTATAACGATGGAGACAGCTTCACGGCACTCCCGACTCTGCTCGGTCATTCTCGGAACTCTGCGTACCCTCGAGACTCTCCACGCAACAACTCGGGATGCACTCGAGGATACGCTAGAGTACAGTTCCCGACTCCTCAGTTCAGTCGTTCTTCGAGCTCAACACACTCTAACTCGACGATGCGCTAACTCGCGATACAGTTAGAGACTCTCTCGATACACTCGAGACCAAAACTTGGCACTAGACTACGAGACACT